CGTCGGTGCTCAATGTGCGAGTGGATTACGAAAAACTGTATTACGCAACCAAACGGTTGTACACCAGCTGGTTGCAAGAAAAGCGGCAGGAGGAGAGATCGAATTTCGGCGGCAGTGACGCGACGTTCATTGAACCGGAAAGTGACCTCAAGGAAGCCGTTCGTTTGCTGTTGGATACACAAAGGACGTTGTTGACCAGACAAGCTGCAGCTTCAACTACCGTGGAGGAGTTAGCTGGCCAGTTTCATGGAATGCACGCAGCCCCAATCGACATGCAGCTACCATCGTTCAGTCTTCCAACATTCAAGGGCGATAGGAAGCAGTGGGCATCGTTCAAGGACATCTTCACCAGCAGTGTGGACATGAAGAACCTTACGAATGCGCTTAAGCTTCAGTTTCTTATGTCTCACTTGGAAGGAGAAGCGAAAAGCCTGGTGAGTAGCTATGCAATCACAGATGTTAACTACAAGCAGGTGTGGGACACTCTGGTCGAACACTATGACAAGCCGAAGTTTGCTGTTTCGGCGCTTGTCCATGAGTTTTGTGACCAGCCAGTGATAAAAGCAATGAACCTCACGAACTTGCGGAAGCTCGTATCGACATCCGACGAGGTGATACGCCAGCTAAAGGCCATGGGCAATGCGTACGAGACCAGGGATCCATGGCTCATTCATCTAGTTTTGAAGAAGCTGGATGACAATGTGCGTTCTCAGTGGGCAACACACATCGTTGACATCGACAATCCTACATTCGATGAACTACTGAAATTCCTCAAGCGGAAGTGTGATGCATTCGAAACTTGTGCTGCGTTCGGCGGTAAACACTTGGATCATGTCAAGAAGGAAATCTACAAGGAAGAAAAGAAGCCGATCAAGAAGGAAATCAACAGTTTCTATGTCGTAGAGCAGCATTCATGTCCGATGTGTTCGGGAGACCATGGAATCTACAAGTGTTCAACATTCAAGGAGGCTTCGGTGAAGGCAAGGCGTGAATTTGTACAGCAAGCAAGACTCTGCTTCAATTGTTTGCGTTCGAACCACTGTGCAAAATCGTGCCCGTCGAAGTCTGTATGCCGTACACCAGATTGTTACCAAAAGCATCACACCTTATTGTGCCAATTGACGAAATCTGAGTTTTCGTCAACTCTACACAACTCGATGGATTCTGCGGTCCTTTCATTTTCCCATGTATCGTACTCTTCATAAGTCGATATTTCTACAAGTCGATGCCTCCTTAGGTCGCTAATCTATGTAGTGTTATTTTGATTCTATAACTCGATATGTGAAAGGTAGAGCTTCTTAATTCTGTAATTGATGTTAAAATCAAAGGAACTTTAAAAAAATTATAACTGGTGATTACCCCGGATCCATCGACCACATCCATGTTCCTGGTGTTTCGGGGGAAATGGTCCATACCTTTAATTTATGCCAGGACCTATCATGAGATATATAAAAAAGTTATATTGAATACTCAGGGTGGATGCTGGGCTATTAAAGGCTGACTAAAAGTAAATTGGTACGCCCCTCGCGTGCCACTAGCAAGCCTCTATAGTCTTGGGAATTGAAAATCTTTGACAGTGGTTTGTTTACACTTCTATAGAGAACAACTGGTGCAAGTTTGATCAAAGTAGTCGATCGCGTTCAGAAATAACGTCAAATGGAACTCGAAAGAAGAAGAAATATTGTGCACAAACCCCTGGAAAATCCGAAGTGGTCCAGTTCCAAGCTGGCTAAAGTGCTGAAAATGCCGAAATCAACAGTTTGTCTAGTGCTCAAAACCTACAAGGAAACCCTGAGTGGGGAAAGTAATCAGCGGACCTACGAAAAAACTGGAACCAGCGATCGTCAGCTGCGCAGCAAGATGTTGAGGTGCATTAAAGCCAAACCCGGTCTTTCGATCTGAGATGTAGTCAGAAGGTACAACGCCAACTTTCAAACGGTGCGGAACAGCCTTGCCAGGGAAGAATACAAGTCGTACAAAGCCAATAAACATCCGAACCGGCATATTCCGTGGCCAAAAAGCGTGCAAGACTCTTGCACGACCGTGTTTTGACGAAACACAAGAGCTGCACTTTGATCGATGACGAAATATACGTCAAACTCGATTTTAAGCAGCTTCCCGGACAAAAGTTTTACATCGCGACTGGACGTGGGGATGTGTCGGGCTCGGGAAGATTCAAGTTCGTGTTTGCCGACAAGTTGGCGAAGAAGGCCATGATTTGGCAAGCGATTTGCAGTTGTGACCTGAAAACGGAACCATTCGTCACATACTCGACGATAACATCCCAAGTTTACATCGAAGAATGCCTGAAAAAGCGTGTATTGCCGTTCATCCGGAAGCATAAGGGCAAAGTCATGTTTTGGCCCGATTTGGCCACCTGCCACTACTCCAAGGTGCTGTCAACAAGATCGATTTTATCCCCAAGCTAATGAATCCTCCGAATTACCCGGAATTTCAACCAATCGAAAATACTGGGCAATTTCAAAGCAGCGACTTTGACAAAGCGGAGGGGCAGTCAAGAACATCCAGCAAATGCGGGCAAAATGGAAGAAATGCGCCATTTTGTCCGTTTTCACTGTGCGGGTGCTGATGGGCTCCATTCGAGATTTCGTTCGAACTGGAGAAATGTAACCATCTAATGCTGTAACTTTGAAGTTTTAATAAAAGTACTGTAAAGCAACCTATCTGTAACTTTTTAAACTTATTGAATCACGAATTACAGGTGTTTTTGTGCGTACCAATTTACTTTTAGTCAGTAGGCTAGGTCGAATGGTCGTTAGGCCGAACGGTTATTAGGCCAAACGGTCATTAAGCTGAACGGTTCTTATACCGAATGGTCACTATGCTAAATTCGGGAAAATTATTACTTAACACTTGCGGCGAAAATTTGCTGGTTGTTGTAAAAGGTTTCCCAATAGAGCTTTTTGACGTTTAATCGGCGCACACTACTGTACCATTTAAAACGAACGAGTGCGAGCAAGAGGGAAACAGATTAGTGGGAAAACAAACCGTCCATTCGTCCATGTGTGCTAGATAGAGAAAGATGATTAAATGTCAAACAGGTCTATAGGGATTTACTAACTTTGACAGTTCATTGCGGCCATATTGTTGAAGCTACAAGTGTCGTATTAGCTGTCATTTATTCAATGTGTCTTGCCAAATTACAATTGAGAGTTATAGCGTTCAACAGCACCTGCAAATGATACTATTATTTTATCAAAGTAACTGTTCTTTGCGAGCAACGTTCCGAGCGCTTCGCCCATTTTACGGTCGCAATAATCGTCCTACCGTGAGGACTATTCGCAATGTGGTGAACGGTAGTTTGGTGAACACTCAACCACCATCCGTACGTGAATGGAACGCAAGGTCTGCCGAGAATATCACCGCTGTACGCGAAAGTTTTGAGTGCGCTCAAAAACTGGACCTCTCGCAGGCTTCAACTTGACGAATTCTGCGTCGAGACTTGGGTCTGAACCCATACAAGATCCAATTGACCCAGGAGCTCAAGCTTAACGATCATAGACAGGACCGTGTGTTCGCTGATTGGGTTTTGGAGCAGTTGGAAACCGACCCCGATTTTGAACGAAAAATCTTCTTCAGCGACGAGGCCCATTTCCGAATGAACGGGTATGTGAACAAGCAGAATTGTCGAATTTGGGACAAGGACAATCCGCACGAGGTCCACCAAGCGGCAATGCATCTCCAGAAAGTCACTGTTTGGTGTGTGCATTTTGGGCTGCTGAATGCAATTGAAAAATTAAAATTTTTGTAAAGAGAAACTCGTCAAAGCTACCATCTCATATTGAAATGCTACAAAGATTTATCTTGATATCTATCACCAACCAACCAATTTTACCCCAGTATTCAATTTTCCCCAGGATCCTAGTAACGGGTGTTCAATAAAAAATGAGAATGATTTCAGTGCCGTCCAGCGCTCTTGTGAGAGCATCGCGACTAAGTTACGTCGTACGGATGACCAGCGCCCCTTCTCCAATATTCATTGACGTTTTTTTGAAAAATAAACATTATGTTTTTAATAAAAAATACTGAATTGGTTGAAAAAATTTTTTTTACTAGCTTTATGATTGAAAAAATGTTCATTTTTTATTGAACATCCGTTAGTTAAATGTTTTGTACATTCTGTATTTTTTTTTTTGATTTTCTTCTGATTAAAAACAAACTTCGAAAGTACATAATATGGGGGTCCCCTGAGGATAGATACTATTTACGGAACTGAATACATATTGGTCGGTCGCTGTAATCAACACGTAGCAATCCGATCTACAGATATCCTACTGAAAATCGTAGCTTTTTCGTCATATGGTATCGTAAAAATCGTCACAAGACAGCCAATTATCCGTAATATCAGCTGTAGTCTGAACGTAGTATTGGGGACAATATCGACTGTCGAGTAAAGGAGGGTTTACTGTATAACTGACAAATAACCAAACCCTAGACAAAAAAACTTTCTCCAGAAGTTCACTCCAACTGAATTCTAGCATTAGATACACTTATCAGATAGGCCCAACTGTCCAACCTAACACACGTGTTTTGTTTACCGATTGAATTTCGATGTTGTGTATATAGTATCGCTTACTCGGCAATGTGACCGCTCGAATTCCTATTTGAAGGCCACCCGAATCTGACCTTGACGTAAAAATATATGCTTCCAATAATTTGTTCAGCAGTATGATATCATAATATTTACACAGACCCGAAATTCCGTTTCACGTACATAATTTACACACACTCTAATCGTTTGAATCATGTACCGCAACGCCTCTGTTGTTTGCATTACGCAGTGATAGTTTGTTTTATTCATTTTATTTACTCGTTCACTCATTCGCGCTTCTTCCACCGATTAATCGGAAACACCTAGATATTAACGACAACCAGCGGAATCTGGTGCACTTGAAAAACACTTGTCATCCTTTATCAGCCCATTTATCAACGACACATGCATTGTACTAACAACGAAGCTCAACCTTTGCGCCACTTACCTCTACTAAGTACGGATCTCGAATCGGAACTGTGTGCTTCCTGCTTCAACCGACTATCACCGATGAATGATGATGGTGTCCTCCAAGTCCAACTGCTGCTGGCAAATCCTCGTGCTACCCCAACCGCCACGATGGCATGGGTTTGTAGTTGTTGTGCGGTGGCCATCACTACGAGACCACGCCGTAGCAAAGGGTTGGAAGGGGCTAATGGCTTTGCGCAAGACGCCATCGTTGCGTAAACCACGTGTTGGGTCGTCGAGAGCATTGTTTTTGTTTACTATTTGATGCTCTTCGGCGCCGATGCTGACTTGATGAACTAGAAGGGAAGAGGATTTTTTATTGGTTAGTTGATATCTATTTACAAATTTCTTTAGTAATTTGGTTCTTCATTTCAATCGTACGATAATTTATCTTTTATCATCACGGAAAATGCCATGCTTTTCAAACCTACAACTTTGTTAAGAATGGGAGTTTTATATCAAATTTAACTACCTACTAGTTTAAAGCTGATTTCTATATATAATAATTCGACCAGATCTCTATTCCAGTAATTGCAATACATTGCAATCATAAAAGAAGCAATCTACCTTCACAGCATTCTTCCAGACGTTTGTAAGCAAGGTGCTTGTTTTGTATAGGCCAAATTAGCATACATTTTTTGTCCCGAGGTAAAATCATTTCGCGTCTTCCGTTCATATTAACATGCTTCCCTTATTCATTCCCCAGTCACACTAACTAGCGAACGTTTTAGCCAGAAGGGCAACTTTTGTGCGTCTTTAGATTATTTTTTCCTTGCAGGTGCGATTTATGTAGGTAAGGGTGGTTCAAAATATCGACTTTGCTCCACCAAGTTCTGAGCATTCTCTCAAAATTTGAGCTTATTTGGATGCGAACTCATACTGCACTGGCGCTACGAAGTTTATATGGGAATTACTATGAGAAATGGGGAACTTTTTTTGAGGTAGAACTACGCCTTTGGGAACTATACCGGGGTGCAAAAAAAAGTGTGACGAAATAGTGTTATTCTTTGAATGCTTGTAACTTTGTCATTTATGGATGAAATTAAAATCCAAATACACCAATCGATAGGAAATAATCAAATCTGCCTAAATAATTTTTTTTTTTAAATGTCCAAATGATAATTTTATTACTGTTTTAATGAAATAAACGTTTTCCCCAAACCCAGTCGTCACAATCGAGTACCAGTAAGTTGCACTTCGTTCTGCTTGAACCTGAAACGTTATGAAACAGCGCTGCTGTCGTGCCTCTGCTCGTTTTCGCATCGGACGGTGTGGTAACAGCAGCAAGTCAGCGGTAAAAGATGGTATTTTTACCTTTGCCGTCGTGCATAGAGTACGGGTTGCCAATCTGCCAAGATCCTGAGGATGATCCTCAACAGTTCACCGCGGACTAAAGATTCTTAGGTCCACCGGCTGGCTGGTCCTCAAACCTTAGCGTTATGGAAAACTGCTACCATCGAAAGGTTCAGAGTGGCCATCGCTGCGAGACGGAACATCAGCTGCCGGCTACTACCAAGCTTCCAGCTGAAAACTATCGAAGCCACCGGAGTTGAGGTGAGCACATCGCTTGGTCCAATCGCGGTCTACTGCCCCACGCAAACCAACATTATGGACGGCTCGGCCGCAGACTTCCGAAGAGACATCATCAAGCTGACACGACGGTGTCAAAATTTCAATCGGCGGGGCAATAGTCGGTGCAATCAGAATGGCACAATCTTGTACAATGATCTACAGAAAGCCCACCACAACATCCTGTGTCCGGACACTCCCACCCGGTTGAGTCGATCCGGGGCTCATGCCACTATCGACATCTTCATCAGCAACATTGGCGATAACATCTCTCAATCTGTCACCTATCAGGAACTAAGCTCGGACCACTATCCGGTGGTGGCCGAAGTAGGTTCCTCGATCAATAGGTTTCAAGTTTCCCGGCGAAATTACCATTGTGTCAACTGGTAGCAGTACCAGCACTGTGTGGACACAGCAATCGACTACGACGTCCTACCGGAGTCGTTCGAAGAAGTCGATCGGTGCATGCAAACTATTGAAGAGGCGATATCCCGTGCCAGGGAGCAACACGTATCAGCATCCCTACATGTGAGTCATACTCTCAACCTTGACAGTCCAACCAAAGATCTTATCAGGCTCCGTAACACCATTCGCAGGCAGTTCCAGCGTTCTGAGCTGCCCCACTTGAAGACCAATGTCAATAAGCTAACCAAAATTATCCGACCAGGATGGTGCAACTCAGAAATAACGATTCTCAACAAGATACGCTCTCTCCCAGATTGTGGAAAGCCATTTTGGTAGATGACCAAAATTTTTAAAAATAAGTCGAGACTGATCCCTCCGTTTTCCTCTGTTGACCAGAACTCGGACCCATCCCTACTCATAACCCCAGTTAAAAAGGCCAACATATTGTGATTTCACATAATCTTGGCCAAACCATGGTGAGCCCCGTACTGGAGGCAATGGCTAGAGCCGCGTCGAGTCGAGTAGAATATCGGTTGATGAGGTGATAGCAGCTGTTAGAAGCGCTAAAAACATGAAGGCCGCGCTTATGGATCGTGTAGTCAACCTCGAGTTGAAAAACTCAAGTATGTATTTACTTCTTCAACCATCTTACCGTTATCTTCAACAAATGTTTGGAGCTTGGCTACTTCGCTGCATGCTGGAAGTTAGCCAAAGTGATTCCAATACACAATCCTACGTGAACGTGTACGTGAACACAATTCTCCGAAAACACAAACGGAAGAAGCACCGACAAAATATAACCACACTAGAACCGGTGGGAGTCTGCCGTTCTATCCCAAAATCACAAACCCGATCAAATCCACACTCAAGCGACAAGGACTTCAGGTAGTACACAAGAGCGACGAAACTTTGCGTGACCTGTTGTGTAACCTGAAGGATAAGGTTCCGCCGGATGAACAGTCTGCAATTTATCAAATTCCCTGCAAGGACTGTCCTTCGGTCTATATCGGACAAACGCGCCGCAAATTAAAAAGTCCGCCTAAAAGAACATAAACATGCTGTAGCCAACAAAAAACCCAATGAATCAGCCGTTGCGGTACACACAATTAGCTTAGATCATAACATTGACTGGAAAGGTGCAAAAATCATCAAAACTCAGAACTCAGAAAAGCTTCAAATCTAAGCGCATGGGAATCATCATTTATCACCAATACTGCTGATCCATTGATGAATGAAGATGGACCCTCTTCTCTTCTCTTCTTATTGGACGTGTACAAAACAACGTATGAACATCCTGAGTAATCAGTCGGACATTGTCCCGTTGATGGGCAACATCACGCCCGAAACCCGTCGACAGGAAGGTAAATTTTAATTTATTTTAACGTTGTAAGAACTATACTGCCGTTCTACGCATAAGAGTCCCACAGTGCATAAGGATTACATAGAACATGGGACAGTTATGCGTATAACGGCAGTATAAGTGTTGTGTCTTGTCTCGCGTCGCGTCTTGTGAGTGTCGTGTAGTTCTTACGTTAGCACAAAACATAAAAAAATAAGACAGACAGCAAACTTTTCCGTATATCATTACGATGAAAGACTAGAACAAAATGTTCACTTTTCCCATAGTAATTCCCATATAAACTTCAAGGGGTCAGCGCAGAATGAGTTCGCATCCAAATGAGCTCAAATTTTGGAAGAGTTATCAGGACCTGATTTGAAATCAATTGAGCTTGGTGGTGCAAAATCGATGTTTTGAACCACCCTAATGTAGGTATGCAACCGCATAAATCCGAATGTTGTCGTAAAAGGGGGGAACAGAATTGCGACGTTTTTATTTGTCTAAATTCGATGGAAGAAACGACAAGCAAGCAGGGTGAATAAAGAAATTTAAAGTCCGATTTCGCTGTATGTATGCGTAGTATAGGCACATAATTGGGGAAGAAGGGATTGTCTTCGCAGTTCAATGGATCACTCGAAAGCGTTAACAATATCGTAAAGTTAAATCAGTACTTCATCTGCTGTGGCTATCCAGCAGATGTGAATTCATTGTAAAATTCAGTAGTACTTGTTTATCAGTAGGTAACTGCGTGCCAACTTAAAATCTGACGTAAGTAACTATTTTTTGAGCGAATGGAATTTACTGGCTTGCCTTGATTTCCAAGACTCAAAAGTGCTTTGGTGCTGTAAAATTATTCCTCGTTTAGAGAAGATTGAAAACTTAGTTAGATCCAAGTTTTTCGATCGACAATTATGAGTATCTTGAAAACTTATGCCCCTGCTCCAGAATAGAGCCCTCACAACACGTTATAATAATTGTTGACATGTTATCAAGATAGCCTTTAAAAACGTTTTAAGCGCTTATTCTGCATATATTTTAACACAGCGTTTCTCAAACTTTTGTCGATTGCGACCCACGTTGAAAATTTTTGTAATACCGCGATCCACCAATATTCAGGGTGACCACTCAACCGGGAAAATCGGGAACCAACCGGTTATCGAAATCATTCGGGAAAAACCGGGAGTTAGATTAGAACTTTAACATAAATATATTTTAAATAAATATTAATAATCCGATATCACTTATAATATTGAATCTAGTCCCATAATCTTGATTGGTTTTCTAGTATCAGGCAGGGTTGCTTCCACTCACTTGCTATAAAAAATGTTTTTTTTTTAATTATGAAATTATTGGATCATTGGATGATATTTTGTACTTGTTAGTTTAAAGAAGAGGTTGTAAAGTATGTGTTTGGCTCATGAAACCTGTCAATTTCGCTTTCAGAGTTTCACAATCAGCGATTTTATGATTCATGAGCGTTCAGTCAGAGTGAGCGCTCGCGAGTCGTTAAATCGCTGATTGTGACTACCTCAAAGCGACACACACTTTACACCCTCTCCTTGTTACTTACAAGTACAACATATCATTATATCATTATATCATCTAATGATTTTATAATTCCGAAAAACATTTTTTTATAGTAAGTGAGTGGAAGCAACCCTCCCAAGTAACATTGCAAGCTTTATAGAGGTTTTATAGCATTCTAACAGTCCAAATCATGATCTACAGAACCCTCATAAAACCAAAATTGTTACTTGGGCTGGTATCAGGATATTGAAATTTGTTCTCATCCGTAGTAATTTATGTTAAACCTGGATCTTGAATTTCAGTACACGGAATCTTTTACTAATACTAACTAATTTATTTCTTTGGAACTTATCTCAGGATATGTTTTGCAAATTTCTCAAAGATGTTCTTAGGAATTATCGTAGTGTGCAAAACACTTTAGGAATTCCCTCCAGAAAAAAAATCTTGAAATTCACT